GACAGAGTACGGCTCTACGGAAGAAAAAAAGGGGAAGGGAGCCTACTATGGCCTGAAAGTTCGTGTCTCCCCATAATTCATATGTTGAAATCCTAAGCCCCGAAGGTGATGGTAATAGCAGGTAGGACCTTTGGTAGGTGTTTAAGTCATGAGGGTACAGCCCTCATGAATGGGATTAGTGCTCTTATAAAAGAGAACGCCCTTGCTCCTTCCACCATGTGAAGACAAAGAAAAAATAAGAAGTCTGCAACCTGGAAGAGGGCCCTCACCCAACCTTGATGGCACCCTGATCTCAGATTTCCAACCTGCTCGTCTGTGAGCCATAAATTTCTATAGTTTATAAGTGACCTAGTCTGTGGCATTTTGTTGTAGCAGCCTGAACTAAGATAGGGCCCAACTAAGAATGTTCCTCATTAATTTTCTAAAGAGTTAGTCCACCAGGAAGCCAACTATTCTTACTTTCCAGATAAGGCAAGTTTCATTCATTTATTTATTCATTCAAATTCAGTAAACAAATATAGTTCAGACCAATATTACGGACTGGCTTGGTAAATACCTCTCTGCTTCTTAGCAGAGAATCGAGCAAGAAATTTACATGTGAATTAAGACTGTTCTAAGTAACTTCTTCTTTTTTAAAGTTTATTTACTTAAGTAATCTCTACACCCCAACGTGGGGCTCTAACTCATGACCCCGAGATCAAGAGCCACACACTCTTCCGACAGAGCCAGCCACGCACCACACAGACTGTTCTAAATAATCTCTGTAGGTTACATAGTTACGTGCTTATAGTCCAAACATATCAAGGACAAAAGGAATTATCTCAAAATAAAATCACCCTTCAAAAATTATTAAAGAGGTCTGGAAGATGTTAAATTGAAGAGATAGCTTAACATCAAGTCAGGGTCTGAATATACCAGAACTGCTATGTCTTAACAAATTTACTCCCCTAGGGGCAACATAATATACATAAAACTGAAAATGCACAGGCCTGCCATTTGCCAATGGCTGTAGGGAAATACTCTAATATATTTGAAATCTGCCAAGAAAACAGTTTACCCTTTCAGTTATGTCTCATTTTATGTTTTTGAATTTTTAATAAATTTTATTGATTCTTGTTGACCATTTTTCTATGACACACTGAGAAAATTGTTTTAGAATTTTCTCTCTAAACACCCTCCATAAAATTTAATTATATTGCTTTTCATTTGTATAGTTCTTGGATGCTATTTTGCCCACTGTGTGTCAATGACTCATCGTAGGAAAAAAAAAAGGTTACCATCCATTCCTTACTTGGTATCTGTATGACTGTAAGGGAAGACATTGGTTTTATCCACAAACTACTGTAGCCAGATTGTTGCAGAAATATGAATTAATTAATGCAGAACTGATGTAACACTGTTACCAGGAACCAAAGAGTTAAATCCAGGATCCAAGGTAATTCCTATAAACAAAAGTGGTTGGGATTTGTGTCTGAATCATGGTGGGGTATTAAAGTGTAAGAGGGAGGGTGGGATGGAGAGACAGAGAAAACCTCACCACAGCACATGGAAGTTTCTCCTTAGGAGAGCCTTGTGGCTCATTGTGCCTGTCAAGTAGGCTAATGTGCCTGTAAATTTCCTCTGACAGAAAACACATCACAGCAGCACCACCAGAAAACAACACAACCAAACTGTGGAAGACTGAAAGCCCAGCGCTTTCAAGGGTGATCAGAATGTAACAGAGTAAAAAAATACAATGCATTGAAAATAAACAAAGGCTAGGAAGAAATGAGATCACTTTCTAAGAAAAAAGCATTTATCATTTATAGGCCAAAGGAAATGCTTCTCTCACAGCCATTTTTTATATATTATTTGGCAGTCTCAGTTCAAGGTCAAAAATATCAGAGGGCAAAAGGAATAGGACTCAAAATTTAAGATTTGTCATAACTGGCTTTGTAATTGCATAAATATTAAATATGTAGAAATAATTGTAAGCACATTATCTCCACATCTCCCCACGTTGCTTTAATTTTTAATGTGATCTTTTATCCACCTTTTCCTCAGCTGGCTGTGGGTTTGTGATTTGCATAGCTAGAATGATCTGGTGCCACCAATTTACTAATGAAGTCACTCATTGAGCAGAAGAGGCTTCTAAAGATTATACAAAGCTGTAGGAAAGAAGGGTGTGGAAATGAAATTTTATGTTTCAGGTAAATGGAAAGTTTATTTTACAGCACATTTTCCCATTGTAAATCTAAAATGGCCACTTTAAAATAAATTTGGAAAACAGAGAAGAGGGCGGACAAAGCACCCATATTTTCATCATCCTAACTTATTGGTGTTGTATATTCTGATCTTTTATACCTATGCACATATATTTTTTAACACAGATGTAATCACTTGTGTGTGTTTATAAAATTTTGTATCCTCCTTTTTTCTCCTATTAACATGGTTATCATAAGTATAACTTTTATGATTGTAAAATAATAATAAAAAGAAAAGTCCATAATTTACTCAGCCACTCAGTTTCTGGTATCTATCATACCAGAATGGTTAAGCAGCTGACACTGCAGCCAGATGAATCAAATACCAGCTCTGCTACCTAACTGTGTGGATCTGGACAGGTTAGTGAAGGCTGCATCTCAGTTTGCTCATCTATGAAATGGGGATAATAACAGTGCCCCTATGAGAGTGTTCTGGTTAGAGTTAAAGGAAATAATCCATGACAAGCACCTAGCCTGGCTCTATTATACAGGAAGGACTAAAACAAAGTGTTACTGAAACCAAGAAAGTCAAATACATTACACTATAGTTTCAAAATTAACAAAAAAAGTTTCAGTCCTACAGTCTCCTGAGACATTGCCATCACCCCACAAGTTCCCTTGTGCCTTTTACTAGTAACAACTCCCCACCTCCACTGTTAACCAGATTTTGATGGTTAACATTTCCTCACTTTGCTTCATGCTTAACATGTAAGTATGTTTCCTGAAAAATATAGCTGTTTGGCCTCTTACTAAACTTGATGTAAATGGTATCTGTCTGTCCCTCTCTCTCTCCCTCTCTCACACACACATATTCACATACACAATATCATTCTGTATTTAGGAGGCACACAATCCAAGTCTTGATTTTGTTGTGATGAAGAAAGGTTTGGACAGGGAGCCAGAGAACCTGGCTTCTAATCCAGTCTCCATGAGATCCCAGGCAAATCTTTTTGCTTCCCTGGGGCCTCCATGTAAAATGTGTGCATGTGCTAAGTGTCTTTGAAGCTCTGGAGTACTAAATTGTTAAGCCTTTCCTATTTGAGTACTCTGTTGGCATATGAGAAACCAGAGCCAAAGAGAATCCAGAGAAAGACCTGGGGCCTGCTGGAAATAAGCCTCCTCTTCCCCAAAATCATGCCAGTAATAGTGTCAGCAAACAAAGGACTATAAAAAAAAAAAAATGGAAGTGATGATCCTACACCACAAATAATTTTCTCTTCTCTGATATGTGCACATTTAGATATATTATTGGCCTTAGTGATCATGTGCATGGATATTTTCCCTAAGATAAGTCATAACCATAAAGATTTTAATGTCAGGAGTTTGGAGTTCAAATAAATAATTACATATTATAGGTTTTCCTGGACAGAGTGAGTTTTAAACATCTTCACTGATTCTAAGTATTTCTTATATGTATTTCTGTATTTGCGTCTGGATTTCTCCCAATACTGCCCATAGAAAATACTGCAGGTTGGCTCACTTAATGTCCATTCCACCCTCATCTTCTGGCGTCTTTCATAATGCAGAAACTGGAAGCTTACAACAGTTTCTAGACTTCTTTGTGCCTAGAGCTATGGATATGAATTAGGTCTGCAATTAGATATATTCATGCAAGATTTAGAAAACATAAGAGAAGATGGGCCATCTCCCTGACCACTCTGGGCTGTATTTCCCTCATAATTAAAGTCATTGAAACATTTTTCTGAAGCAGTGTTCCATGGCCCATTATTCAGCCCCCTGAAGGACAATAAGCAGTTGGGACAGCAATAGCTTTCTGTCTCTGCCTGCCATCACAGGGTTATGTTACTGATACTCATATTCCAAAAGTCCTCAGCAGTCATAGCTCCGCCAATAGGTCAACTCTGTATTGTACTGGAATCATTGTTCAGAGGCTCTGTCTGTCACTCACTTCTCCCACCCTGATCATTCATTCGTTTTTGTAAGCACCCTTTATTAAATACCTTCCTTCGTGAAAATACCTAAAATTGTTTCTATTTGTTTACACTGAACCCTGACTGATACACATCCTAATTGTTACTTTAGAAAATCTGTTCACAAGGTATAAAGTATCATAACTCTGTAGAATGCTATATTGAAAAGAGAAGTTTGGAACCCAGAAAAAACAAGCCATACCGTTTAGTATCTATGTGTCCTAAAGCAAGTTGTCTAACTTCTCTGTATCTACATCCTTTCTAAATAAAATAGATACTAACATACTAATCTTACAGAGTTGTAAGAATTAAATGAGGCAGCACAGGTAAAGCACCTAGCATACACTGGTCATTCATTATATAGAGTTTATTTCTTTCTATCCCCATATTGGACTTTCTTTAGTAATCAAGATGATTAGTAAAATAATTTTGGGGGAAATTCTCTTTAAAGGACTTATAAAAAAAAACACACCCTTAAGGAACTTAAAGATTCACAAAGACAAGAGGAATAGCTTTAAATGCCATTCAGGAGCAAACAGACTTCTATTATGAACCAGAGCAACCCATTATGAGTACTACCCATTCACCCCAACTAGTGGCTCAAGGCCCAAATAATCATTAATTCATTCAACGAATATTTATTAAGCCTTGACATTGCTAGACATGACTTCATTCATTAAGATACAGTGATAAATCAAAAGGTTCCAAACTTCTAGGAGCTTGCATTCTACTGGAAGACACAGACATAAAGTAAGTCAATAAATAATTTCAAACAGTGAGAAACACTATGAAGAAAAGGCATTCTTCCTTTAGCTCTCTTTCCCTTACCTGCTCAGAAGTTTATTATGTTACTTGACTCATCCTCTTTCTCAGCTTCATGGAAGGGAAAGCATAGGGAGATGAAGATTATGCCAACAGTGTCGTGATTCTCTTAGGCAGACGAGTAGTTTCAGGATCTGTGAAGGGTCTGGGGCCTGTCACTGTTTCATGGATGCCAGAAGAGAACACAAGATGCCTGGATTAGAGATAAAAAAGCATGTGAAAGCAGCATAAGCATGATATTGGTGTTAGTTTCCCATGTCTCCCAAATCCCAGAGGGTCTAAAGGAAGGGGTCCAGATGGGTGCCATACACATAGCAGATTTCTGTCATAGGCCAAAGAATACCGAACTTGGAGAATTTACTGCTTTTATAGTGTTTTTGGTAAGCAAGCCTGCTCTTGGTTTGGGAGAAGATATTACTTGGTTGCTCAAGGTTGCTCTCAGCAAACACAATCCTGAAATTGACCCAAGTAAAGAACAGTCAGGGGTCTTGCACTCTTGGCATACACAGAAATGATGTGTAGAGGTGCTCATGGGCCAACGGATAGGAGATAAAATGATTGAACCCTCCAACCTCTATAGTTTTATGCAATTATAATTATAAAATTTTCTTAAGTTCTTAACCCCTTTCAAACCTTAATCTTAGATATGATGTAGTTAGGCAACTGAAGAGTTCAGTCAGACTTAGAATAGCAGTTGGCACGGGAAGAAATAAATTTTCCAGTTTTACCAAATATAACCTGAGGCTCTTGTATAGACATAGACCCTCTCATCATCATCAGAATGGAGCCAGACCTCATACCTTCCAGAAACCTCACCCCAGGCTCTATTCCTGTTCAAGATTACATTGATTGCCCATTTTAACAAACCTCAGCTGCAAAAATCTATTTCTGTAGGAAAATAGTGTATGTTCCTACCCAAAGCACTCCTCACATGGCCATTGCTCTTGCATTCTGAGGCAAATTGCTCTTGCTAGATCATCCTCACAGTCAACTTTCCTTGGGTTCTCAAGCCATGGATCAATACCAGGGAGAGAAAATTGTAGACTTCTTCCATGACATATCAATGCTGTCCAAATTATCCATGTCGACTCCATTATCCACTTCCTGTAATGGTTATTTCAAATGTTCTCTACCCTACTCACTTCTTCATGGGACCGTTCTTCCCCTTTCCCAGAGAAAATGGAAAGTAACTGGGGAATGCTCTCTCAGTATGTCATTTGTTACCTCTTGTAATCCTACAGCACACGCTGAAAAATAGCGATTACTATCCCAGTGTGGCATGTTGGAAAATGGAGCTTTGGAGATATCATATAACTTTCCCAAAGTCACAAAAGCTATGTATCCTGGAGAAGGAACCAGATTGAATCTTTATGATATGGGCCCTGCCCCCATGCAGCTTCCAGATAAGGTAAAATAAAACTTCTCTGTTTTTTTAAGTGTTGGTGTAAAAAGTTCTAGCCTCCTAAGCCACAGAAACATGTGCACTATAGAGAATGTTTGCTTTTACTTTTCCTAGATACATTTTCTCATATCATAATGATTAGATCGGTAGCTGTTTGTTTCCCTAATGACAGAGCTAATTGCTCTGATCCAAAGGGCGAATAAAACTCTTATCATCCCCAAAGCAAAATATTATATCCTGGGATAGGCACCTAGGTTAGTTCTGAAGGTGCTGGGGAGACTGGAGTGTTATCTTTATAGTTATTTAAATTCCAACTTGGAATGAGGCCCTAGAGCTTAGAAACGTCTGGAGTAAGGAGGAGAGCCTTTCAGGAGATGAAGAGGAACAGCTGCATCCTTTATCTTTATAAACACAGAAAAATCACTTCTTGTCCCTTGTCTATAGAGTATCTGGCCACTCATGTAGAAAAATTTTCATTGGCTTTCATAATATCGCCCCAAGGGTAAGACCTGGAGCAAGCTGGGAGAGTGGAGCATGCAGTTCTTATTTACTCTGGGGTAGGAAGAAAATCTGCCTCTGATCCAGAACATCTCATGTGCTCATTCAAGGTAAAATGAATAAAGACAAATATTAAAAACACAATACTAGGGGCACCTGGGTGACTCAGTCAATTGAGCATCTAACTCTTGATTTCGGCTCAGGTCATGGTCTCAGGGTTGTGAGACAGAGTCCCATGTTGGGCTCTGTGCTCAGCAGGGAGTCCGCTTGGGATTCTCTCTCTTCTCTCCCTCCGCCCCTCCCCCTGATTGCATGCATGCTCTGTCTCTCTGAAATAAACAAAATCTTCAAAAAAAAAAAAATCCCACAATACTAGACATTTCAGAGAAGGGATAAGAACACAAATACTTCCAGACCATGAAACAAATAGTTATAACAAATACCTGGTAATATTTGAAGAGACAGAGATAGTGTTTGAGCTTCTTTGTGTAGAATGAGTAGAAGTTTGCTGGTGGACAAGGCTGGTGAAAAGCATTCTAAACATAAAGAATTGTACCAAGGATCTGAGGTGCACCTTTGTTCAAGTTGTTATAATATTGGCCTTTCTTCAAGGTACTTTATTTCCATATATCACAAAATTGTCATATTAATTTCATTAGAATAAGATATTCTACTGCCATCTTCCAGAAGATAGTTCTAATAACAAATTGACAATATCAGCAATACATACAGCACCTCTTAGAGATGTTCTATGTATGGTTTGTACAACCATACCCAGTGGCCCTGTCTGCTTGGCTCAACAGGAAGAAAGCAAATCATTCAACATGACTAGCGTGAGGACTGTGAGTGAAAGAGCAGGGGTAGGGGAGGGGGATAGGCAGAGGTCAGAATTTGAAGACACTTAGGGTTCATACTAATGTGATGAGAATTAGATATGAAAGTGCTGGGAAACTACTGATGGATTTTAGGCAAGAACTAATGGGACTGACATTTTCACAAACCTAGAGCATAGAACATTGGAAAAGTGGCGAAAGTAGGGTAAGATTAGTTGGGAGACCTGGTAAGGGACCAGAAGACCACAGGAGCTCTATGATAAAAAAGGATAGGGAGAAGGCTGATTTCTTTGGCCTCAGAGGGACTGGCGGGGGTGGGGGATCTTCTTCCTGTCCAGGGTGATTCTCTCCTGCAGCGCTATTGGTCCCCATCACTGTACGTTCTTCCCTACCACCTTGATCTGTCACTAAACTCTTCTTTCTCCTGTGTCTTCAATCTCTCTCTCCACTTGTTCCAACCCTGCAGGCTTTGGTTGCCCTAATATGCCAAAGTCTTGATTCTGCTCACCCTATTTTTCTGCACGAGTATTTTCCCCTGTATTAGAATGGCTTTACTCACTCTTCAGATTAGGAAAATACTACCCTTCTAACAAGTGGTTGAATAGCAGCAGAGTGGTAGCTAACAGAGCCACAAGGATCACTACTGAAGCTACTAGGTTGGCTTGCCACACTTGCAGAGATTCAGCCAGTAAGATGACAATAGGCTCAACTGGATTAAGGTAATTTATTACTTACACAGCAAAAATAGTATCAGCATGGTATCACCTCCCCACATCTCTAGTCCCACAGGATGATACTGAACTGGAAGACCTAATGAGAGAGACAGGAGTGATGGGTTGATCTGTTCCTGAGAAGCCATCTAAACTATAGTCTGACAGTTTCTAGATTCACACAGAAGCTTGAAGCTATAACTGAAGTGGGGTGGAGTCAGATGGAAAGTCCTATGCTCTACTGAAACTAGGGAGCTCGATGAGAAATGGTTTGATAGAAGTCTGCTGCTCACAAGAAGCTTATCTCCTCTTGGTCATGGAGGAATTGCAGGGCATTCCACCAAGACTGATCAGAAGTGCCCTTCTGGCTTATGTGAAGACATGGAAGGTCATGTGGTGGCCGGGCTATACCCCAGTAACTCCACCTCTGACCTTTCATGTATTGAAGTAAGAATTATTTTCAGGAGTTTAGGACACCCATGAGATTACCTAATTAATTGTACTGATTGATTATAGGGGCTTGGACCAAATATTTTCCATTCATTTTAGGCCACAGCAGATGAAAGTGACCGTAACTATGACTCTTATCAAGATGGTCAGGCTAACTTGAAGGATAAATTGTAAAGGCTCCCCATCCAGAGCCAAGATGGTTAAGTATGTTTCAGGTGTTGTTAAGATTGACCTGAGAAAGTCACACTGCTTTCTCTCTAAGGTAGAAGATAATTGTTCCACCTTTCCTGATTCATTAATCTAAGTGCAGTAATAGGTGTTGGCATTTGAATATATTCTCCCTTGAATGTCCAGCAGGAGGTCCAGGGCAACATGATTGTTTGTTATCATTTGCATTAGAGATTTTACACTGGTTTAGGTTTGTCAGGCAAGTATGGGTCTGATGTCCACATAAGTACCCTACTGGGGGCATAAACTGTATTAGGAGTGTAAGTGCCATTTATGACAACAAGGGTGGGTCAATTTTGTGTCCCTTATGGTGGACAAACTCCTTGTTTAGAGCTAAATAATTTCCTGCAAAGCAGGCTGCAGTGCTGCTTCTGCAGAGGACAATCTGGCTATGAGAGCCAACCAGCCTAGCCCTTATGGTGTGGACTGTTCCAGGTGAACTAGAGTCTGCTAATGCAGAAGTTTGTAATGACTTCGGCAATGGCATTTTGCTGACATGGGGGTCAAGGTTTAATTCTTCAGTGTCTGAAGGAAAAGCTGTTAAGTTTTTGTCAGCAGGGTCAGGAGGGAATGATAGATGCAAAAATCAGTTAAATTCAGCAGTGGTGCTGGTCTGGAAAAAGCATACAAGAGAACTTTTTTCTTAGATGATAGGGAGAGACCACAAGGGAGTAGGCTTGTGGGGTGGCGGGCATATTAATATCCAGAAAATTAATCTTGTTCTGTCATCTCAGGTGGAGGTCATCTATCTGAAAGGGCAACAGTCCTTAAAGTCTAAAAACTAAGGATCTAAGTCCTAACATCTAGGACTCTAGGATTTAAGTTAAAAATGGGTTTTCAAAGATTTTTCTTTCTTTTTCTTTCTTTCTTTTTCTTCCTTCCTTCCCTCCTTTCTTTCTTTCTTTCTTTCTTTCTTTCTTTCTTTCTTTTCTTCCTTCCTTCCTCTCTCTCTCTCTTTTTTATTTAAAAAAAGAATGGGTATTCAAGTTTACAAAGGCATTCTGAGATGATAGACCAGGCCAGGTGTCTTATAAGTGAGAGGCAAGAGAGGCTTAATGATTCTTTCCCCAACCCCTGACTTCCCAGGGTTTAGAGTATTCCTCTCCTACCAGCTGGGCTCTTCATTTCCTTCCATAGCCACATGATTGGTATAACTAGTCTCTGCAGCAATCACTTTATTCTTTTTTCCAATCCTCATAATTTCTAACCCACACCATTTGCTTGGATTCATCGCCCAGTGGTTTTTTGTTTGTGTTTTGTTTTGTTTTGTTTTGTATAGCTTGTAGCATCCTAGAACTTGTCCCACCCTAAAGGTGGGGACCTGCCAGGACCACTTTAGAGTTATCATCTCATACTCATTATTTTCTTCTGTGCTCTAGTTCAAATACATCTTACCAAGGCATCTGAAATACCTGCTACTTCCAGTTCGTCAGGTCCAATTAGCATAATGTCATTATGAACTACCAGAATGAACCAGTGTGATGTTTTGTGGAATGTCAAGAGGATCAACATTTCTGTAGACTATATTAAGGAGAACTGATGTGCCCCTGAGGTAACCATGTGAAGGTATACCATTGGCTCTGTTAGGTAATAGCCAACTGCTTCTGCTGGTTTTTATAAAGAAGTATAGAGAAGATTGCATTAGCTAAATCAGTAGCTGTATTACAAGTACCAAGTGCTGTGTTGATTTGTTCCAGCAAAAATACTGCACCTGGAACAGCAGCCCCAACTGGAATTACCTCCTGGTTAAGTTTACAGTAATCCACATTTTTCAGGATCCATATGACTTTTACACTGGCCAAACTGGTGGGTTAAATGGGAATGTGATAGATATCACCAGCCCTGCTTCTTTCAAGTCCTTTCTGGTGGTATTGTTTCTGGTTTATGATCTTGCAAGACAGTGAAAATTCCAGGAGCGTCCCACTTGGCCTTCCTACTATAAAGGCACCCACCTCATGGGTTAAAAAGCCAATGTCGGGATACTGTCAGTTTTAGAACTGAGAAAATAACCACAAATTTCGTGTGTGAATCAAATGAACTAACAGAACCAACATGAACTAAGACTTCATCTAACTACTGACCAAGATAAACTCTAACTTTGGTTGGAGCGTGAAAGAGGCATTTTGTAGTCTTAGGGATTAGCATCAGTTCAGATTCAGTGTCTAGTAAATCTCAAAAGATCTGCATATTTCCTTTTCTCCAGTGTAGTAGATGGCTATACAGCTCTTTGGGGAAGGCTTGGGCAAACATTTAAAATGTGTACTGTAGCAATGGTGCAAGGTTCTTCCTTTTAAAAAAAAAAGAATTGGTAAAGTTATATATTTCATATAATGTATTTAATCTAACCCATTATATCCAAAATATCATTTCCAAATATAAGCAATATGAAACATTGATATATTTTACTTTTAAAGATTAAAAAATACATGTTTATTATGACATTGTCCATAGTGGCAAAAATCTGAACATGATCTGAGGGGTCCATCAATGGTACTACTGCTGTGATCTGTGCAAAGTCCTTCCTGAAGGAGACGCTCTGTCAATCAAGGGCTTCTGGGTCTGTGAACTGGTTTAGGAACCGCGTGAGAGGCTGTGATTGTCCACTCTGCTGACTCAAGTTAGATTTTACCTACCTTAGAGCTTTTGCTATTATAAATATCAAGCACTACTCTGTTAGGCTGGCCATGTACTTTGTTCCTAGGGCATCTCTGTGGACTAAGGCATTTGATTGCCTGTACACATCTGCTGCCCTTTAAGGCAAATGTACTTACATCATATTTGGTGCCTAAGTGCTGCTTGTCCTCTGCTATTCTCAGGTCCTGTAATCTCCAATGAAATCCAGAAGCCCATCTCAGTGGTGGCATCCTCTGTAGTCATCCATGGCCTACAGAGGGGAACATCCATAGAGATTTTCAAAGATGCATGTCTTCCTCTCACTAATTTATTTCTCAATTTTTCAGGGAAGGGAGTGTCTCTGGGCCTTTGATGGAATGCAGTTGAGGATGGGTATGCAGGTAGTATATGGTAAATCCAGTATAACATTTCCCTAAGTCTTTGGATTCCCTGTTCCACATGTCTGGGAAACTTCGGCACCTCAACCTCACAAATTGGGTCCAAGTTTCCATCAATCAACCAAGTAAGCTGTTAGAACCACCTCTAGCTGCATAAGCTGAAACATATAATTAACACCATAATAATAAATTTGGCCCAATATAGTGTTCTACAGTGTCCTCCGTAGTCTAACACCCTTAGGAGCCACTCCCAAACATGTTCTCCAGTTCTCTGCCTATGTATCAACAAGGTAAGTTATTTCTCCTGCCCATGTATCAATTTTGGTGTTTAAGTTATTTCTTCCTTCACCACAGTGTGCACCTATCCCCCAGAAGCATGCTAAGATTTGACCCTATTTAAGAGTATAGTGGCAACAGAAGGTGATTGTGGTGGGTTTTCAGGAGAATGTGAATTCTCTCTCAAGGGATTGTCCCAGGTGAGGTTGTCACAAAGTTTTCAAGCAGAGGAAGCCCACCTCCTCAGACAAGGGAGGGCAACCTACTTCCACTGGTAAGAGAGACCCAGAGTGACTTAATGGTTCAAGATTGCCAGTTTCATCTGGGTCCAACCCATTCTGAGTTTTGAAGTCCTATTAATCATCAATACCCTTTTACATGAGAAACTTGGCACATTTGTGAATTCAACACAAGCTGTAATTCAGTAACCCGAAAATTAAAATTTTGCATTCGATTTTCAGAAATACAATTTTTATTGCTACAATAAGAGCCTCTTTTAGAATTGTTATAGAAGCTCTCTGGTTCTCATGCCATACCTTTGGATTTGTGTTTGTCATTTCTCTTTGTAAGTATTCAAAGGAGCTCAAAAGAATCCATCTCACACCACAGTCCTTATAGTCACCTTACAGCCATAACAGTCAAGTGTCATTGCCACTTGGGCCCCCTCCTCAAGGCACATGCTTCAGTTGGCACTTCATCACAATCAGCTACAGGCAATTGATTAATTGGAACACCCTGTGTGCCATGAATCACTAGAATCTTATTTCCCTTTGGCAAGGAGCTCAGCACTGAGCTCAAGCCAAAGGCCCAATCAAAACAAATTCCTAACCCCATCTTTCCAAGGCCATCTCTTGCAGTTATAGGTAAAGCTTAATAAAAATAAAAAAGCCTAAATGAAACAATTATAAACTATAACAGAGAATTAATGAGAGATTCACTAGTGGGAAGACAACCCTAGGGAATATACAAATAGCAGTTACTAGGAGCTAACCTTATAACTAATCCCTGGGCTGGGAGCTAGAGTTTCCCAAGAAGGCTCCCCACCCCCTCCTGACTTCACTGGAGAGGGAAGAGTCCTCTCACTCTGGCTCACTGAATGGCAGAGAAGTAACACGTGCAGAAATATGCCCTGTGGAATTTACTACAAATCTTGTCTCTAGCAAGCCTGGAAAGTTGTTCATGGGGTAGTGGCTCACCTTAGCACCTCCACTACACAACCACTAGAGTTAAGGCTGAGGGGGGAACTTCTGACCTCCAAAGCATTATTGGAATTTGGCACTAGAGAAAGCCAGGTAGGCTGCAAGCGCCTGCCTACACATACAACAAAACCAGCAAGAAAAACCCTTTTCTTCCCGTAATGTCTCTTCAGCGCCCTCTACTGACAAAGCTTCAGCGGCTGCTAGCAAAGGAAAACTTACTTAAAAGGGCCCAGATCCATTCTCACAGTGCAGTCAAAAAGGGCGGATTTGGAACAGCGCGGCAATAGAGCAATAACCTGCACAAGCATCACTTCTTGGGCTCCACTCAGAGACTCTGTAGCCAGCTGTCGTTTGGCAGTCTCCTTTCCCTCAGGTTTCACCAAGAAGTCACCAAAAGCAACAGAGGAAAAGATGAGTCTGAACAGAATGCAAAGGCCCGTTCTCTATTTCTACAGCTCCTCACCGAATTGACGTCCCAGGCACGCCAGGCCCGGGTCCTCAAGGACAGGAAACCTGAGCAGCGAAAAGGAAGTGGGGAGAGAGCTCAGCCCTTGTGGAACCGGGCTGCTGGCGTCTGCAAGCCTCTGAGGGCCTCACCTCCACCCAGGCTGCCAGCCAGTTCACAAAAGCCGTCTGAGGTCTTCTCTCCGCCTGGGCGCAGGGAGGCGGGCGCAGAGCGGGCCCGATGGGCGACGCACTGTGATTGGTCGCCGGAGGCCCCGCCCCCACCCCGGCGCGTCGAGAGGGGGCGGGGCCAGCCGCCTATTCGGCTCCGGGGCTGCGGGCGCCTATTGACCCAGCAGCCGCCTCGCCGCGGCTGTCTCCTGCTCGTGGCGGGCGGTGTAGGAGCGCCGAGTGGCGCTGGAGAACTGGTGCTTCCTTTCGCAGCTGCCGCCGCCATCTCCGCATTTACGGGGCGGGAAGGAGGGAGGGGACTCGCGGCGGCAGCTGGAGCGGGCTTCTCTCCGGGGACGCTCCTCTCCTTGCTCTCCTTTTCCTCCTCCGCGCGCCGCCGCCACCCGCCCCCTGCGCCCTCCTCGCGCAGCCCGGGTCCGGGAGGGGAGAGGAAGGGGCGCTGGGGGGCGGGAGAGGCTAGCGGGCGGGCGCGCGCTCGGAGGAAACTCCTGCCGGATCCGTTCGTCCCCGCGCCCAGGGTGCACCCCGGCCCGGCCTCCGCGGCGGCGGCGGCAGCGGCGGCGGCAGCAGGAAGGCGCTCTAGCGGGGGCGGCGCCGCGGGGGCGGGTCCGGCCGTCCCGGCGCTAAGTTGTAGGGCCCGGCTCCTCCCGACCTGGTTCCTTTCCCCTGGGCTGATCGGACCCAGCTCTGTGCTGTCGACCCCAGAGCCGCTGATCCCGCACCTCCTGGGTGAGGGGGACACGCCTGCCCTCGTCGAGAAAACTTTTCCTGCTGACTCGGTCGGGGCGGCGGTGGCAGGAAGTCCGGACAGCGACCTCTTCGCCTGCCCTGCGCCTGCCGGGTGCGGGCGCTGAGCTCGAGATCAAGTTTGCGGGGGCCCCTTCCGGGCTGCAGGTGGGTCCCGCCTGAGGAGGGACGCCCGACCCCAGGGAGGGCGGTGGGCCCGGGCTAAGGCCGAGGGCGTGTGGTGGCGCCGGAGACAAGGTGCGGAGTGCGGTTGGGATCCGCACCCGCAGCCAAAAACGCAGAGAGCCCCGGAGCGGGGAGCCTCCCGCGGCCGCCTGCAGGAGTCCACAGTCCGCCTCTTTCTTCGGTGAGGACTCCTGGCCCCGAGTCTATCGAGGAAAAATGAAGTTAAGCCGCCAGTTCACCGTGTTTGGCAGCGCGATCTTCTGTGTGGTGATCTTCTCGCTCTACCTGATGCTGGACCGGGGTCACTTAGATTACCCTAAGAGCCCGCGCCGCGAGGGCTCCTTTCCCCAGGTAAGCTACGGCGTGGGGCTCCACGAGGGTAGGCGTGGGGGCCCGTAGTTCCCCGCTGCTTCGCGACCTCTCCCTCCTGCCGAGCCTCCGCGCCGGGGCAGGGCGCGGCCGAACCGGAGGAGGATCCGAGCCTCCCCCAGCTCGAGCTCTGCAGTGTTCGGACGGCGGTGACTGAGACCCGGGAGCCTTCTCCCGGGCGCTCCGAGTTAACAAAGTGCCGGGTGGCATGCGGTGGCGGGATTGCGCGCAGGGGCAGTGGCCATGTTCCCGCACTAGCGTTCGGGCCTGTTGGGGTGGCCTCGGGCACCTGCCAACTGGAGAACCGGCGCAGCGCTCGATTACCGCTCTTGGGCAGCCCCTCGGCCCACAAAGGGTTAAGCTGCACAGACCCCCCCCCCCCCGAGCGCCTCCAGTCGCAGAAATTGATCAAACAGACCCCATCTGGTCTGTTTTTTCACCCCACTGTCTCTCGAGAAATAAGCAAAAGTTTATTACGTGTTGCAAACCTCTTAGATGTGAATCTGTAGGGTTGATTTTAGTGTCGTCATTCTTCAGCTATTACATAGGGTTTGTTTGGAACAGACGTGGGAGCCCGGTAGGGAAGCGCGTGTTATACTCCAGCCGGAAGCTGTGGGGCGCTCAGTCCTGCGCCCAGTGGTCAAATTCTCCATCGAGTTGGGAAACCACCCGTCTTCAATCTTTTATATAAAGTTACTAAAAATAAGCAAACAGACAATTGGCTGTGTTTGGAAAGATGCCGTGCCACGTGTGAGATTTGTTTCAAGTTTTTTGCACATGACCTGTACTCTTCAGAAATTTTAGTAAAACTGGGTGTTGTGTAGTAACCTCTAAAGAGTGAAACTGCAGAACTCAAAACCATGACAAGCTGATCTAACAACTACTTGACTCAGAGATACTGAACAAGTTGACGGAGTTTTTCTTCCTTTTGTGACAATGTAAGTGACCAGAGAGTATCCTTGCTCTTTGTTCTTGTGCTAAGGCAAAAGGCCTGAATTTAATTGAAATTAAGCTACTAACTTTATCAGAATTCGGAAAGTTAAAAAAAGACCTCTTTGTGGATGCTGTCATCAATACAGAGCCCTCAAAATATTTTGCAGGTGAAAGGTGTTAAAAATATTGTTGTAAACGTGTCAAAAAATTTTAAAAGCTTTTTCTCTTAATATGATGGAGGAAATATAGTGAAATAAGCAATATGGAATGTCTTTAAATCTTGACTTTAGAGTTTGTCCAGTGCTTGTTGATGAGACTGCATAAAAGTTTAAAGTGGGGTAAACCCTCCCAAGCCATAGCAAAAGGAGTTCTAAGCCCTGCTTAACATGTTGTATAATTTGGTAGCTAAACTTGCTGTGATTCCCCTCTCCCCATATCACATTTTCAGAATTTTCTTCATTACAGGAAAAATCATAAAAACTGATACATTTTATTTAAGCTGTTACCTTGAATAATGTCCTTTGGCTTTGGCTTGATAATCACTTGAAATGATTTATGCAAACATCTGGGGCTGGGGTTCTCTGGCAACCTTGACATTTTACTGTTTCTAAAGAATAGAGTGACTCATTCAGTTACTGGGAAATTTTAGGCAAAGTTAATTCCAATATTTTAATATCCAGCCTTAGTCCTCCTCAGGGGGCTTATGTTCTGCATAGAGCAGAATGCCTTTGATGGAAAGTGACAGTGGCTGCTGGAAGAGAAGGGTCTTGTCTGTATTCTGTTTTGTGTGCAAGGGGAGAGGATTTGGAAGGTGGAGCTTTTTATGCTTAAGATTGACATTCTCAGATTTTCAGGACTGGATTTTCGGTTCAGGAAGAAGGCACTTTTTTGCTGATTTAGTTTTGGAGAGCCACTGAATCCCCAAACAGGTGGACAGAATAAGCACTCTGTAAACCTAACTCTTACATGCCTGACATCAGCCTTGTGTGTCGTATGGGACAAACTTGATCCCCGCCACCCAGTAGATGAGGAAACTGAGGCACACAGAGATTAACTTGCCCAAAGTCACACAGCTTTTAGCTGAGATATGAACAGGTGGCCTTTGGAGTCTAGGCTTTCAGCTTCTTTCTTTCTTTCTTTTTTTCTTTCTTTCTTTCTTTCTTTCTCTTTCTTTCTTTCTTTCTCTTTCTTTCTTTCTCTTTCTTTCTTTCTTTCTTTCTTTCTTTCTTTCTTTCTTTCTTTTTTCTTTCTTCTAAGATTTTATTATTAGAGAGAGCGAGAGCAGGAACACAAGCAGGGGGAACAGGAGAGGGAGAAGCAGGCTTCCCACCAAGCAGGGAGCCTGATGCGGGGCTCAATCCCAGGGCCCTGGGACCATGACCTGAGCCAAAGACAGACACTTAAAGACTGAGCCACCCATGCGCCCCTCAGCCACTTTACTATACTCTTAGTAAATCTTTGCCTACTTTTTAGGTCCCAGTCTGCCTACAGAAAAGATCTGGTGTGGAAGATAGATCATGTTGCTCTGTGGTTCCTTAGCTTATCACCTTTTTTTTTTTTTTTTAAGGAACTTTCATTATGAAGCTGTAACGAATGTGTTCCTTTTTCTGAAATGTTTAACATTTGAGATTTATACCTCTCCCAGAATGTCGTCGCTCACTTTAGAGCTAAACATTGTAATGAAAACCATTATGTAGCACAGCATCCAGCCTTTTGAGTTGGTTTTTATTTTTTTTTATTACTTCTAAATCCCATGTAAACTTAAATTTGTTGAGAACACCACACAACAAAACTAGCTTGCAATATATTTTTTCGGTGAATTTGAAGCAAGCTAGTCCATCACTATATATCATTTTTGGTGTCTAGTAGAATGATTTATCTAGAAAGGGATTGATTTCCGCTGAATTTTAGTTTAGGATTTAGGATTTTAGTTTAAATCAATGTGGAACCTTCAGTATTATATATGGTCTAGCTGGTAAGCAGGATACATTGTAAAGCCATCCTAGATCGAGAGCAGCCTGTTTGCTGTTATTCTGGCTTTCATTCTTTTCCCTTCCTCCTACAAGTCTGTGTTTTTCACCACTTGGCCAGACTCTGGGGTGGCAGTAGGCCCAACTCTGGGTGCTCCCGTTTTTCCCACCCTGGAGGAACAGCCTACCTCTGACATAGTCTTTGGAAGGCTTTTCTCTTTGCTCCTCGGAGGAATTCCTTTGAGGCTTGGAGGCAACAGGCAGCCTTGTCTGTGTTAGCTTCTGTGTATATTTCAGGGTTAATAAATCTCAGCTAGAAAAATTAATAAAAATTACACTGCAGTTGAGAGGCTGACCAGGGCCTAATTCCCTGAAGATGATTTGAGGTAATATAAGAATTTGAGTAGATGGAAAAGAGAGACATTGTTAAGGTCCTGAAATTCTTCATCACTTCTTATAAGCAGATTTCACAAGTTGCTTATTGTCTACATTGAGTG